ACTGCCTACAAAGTGACTTCAGTACAAGAGTGGCTAGCAAGAATGAAATATTTGAGGAAAATGACTTTATTTCTACATCTCCCCACATTGAGTAATAACAACTGGGACCTTGGGACGGTTGTGAGGCCCCGTGGGGACATTTTCAATCTTCTTGAGCACCAACATACCGTCCACAACTTGACCTATAAAAAGGAATCAAAGTTTGCACCAACATCTATGGAGCACTCGAAGTAACCAAGCCCGATCAAACTAACCAAATACAACATGCTTCCCGTCCAAAAAGTCACAAGGAGCACAGGTGATGAAAAACTGACAACCATTTGTGTCTTTTCCGCTATTTGCCTAGGGGAGATCGAAGTTGAGTGTCTGAAGGAGGAAGAATAAAGAATTACCATTGAAAGCATCCCTGGTGAAGAGTGTTTCATTATGAAATTCTCGTCGGAGAACTTGGAGCCACCATAAATACTGCAGGAACCAGTTCCATCTCCCTAAGCAAGAATAGAGCCATAATAACGAATGGCAAGATTACATTGACAAAATCGCCACCTTGGACCATAAAATCCTTGATTATGCGATGGAAAGTGCAGCCTTTGTAGCCCGTGGGTACACCATCCTTGCGATACTCACCCGTGCAGAGTTGGCTACAAGAGGAAGGTTAGTGAAGGGCAAACAGTAAACCGAAAATTCTCCGCTGTTTTAGGCGTCACATCTGCAAAGAGCTCGAGCTGAATTCGGCCAATGTCCTGACCCCCAATAGAAATGTCGAAAAAGACGACAGGATTCTTCGGGTTATTCATTCGTTCGGCTACCATAGGTGCTGGGACCGCCATCCCTGCTGCCATACAAACGAATGCATAACAAGTACAATTTAAAGCAAAAGTATTGGCGAACAAACGGAAGGCAATTAGTGCAAACCCCTTCTTTATATACAGTTAAAAAGGTTAACATTTTCACATAGAAGGCAAGAGATGAGAGTTAAGAAGGGGAAAGAGTTCTTTTAATCCATTGAGCAAGTAATTCAGTTGA